AGTGAATCAGCAGCGTTCTTCGTGCAGACGTCTCACTGAGGCTCCTCGTGGAGCTCAGAGTCTTTCTCCAGAATAAGTCCCGGACGATTAAAGGAAACAGATTCTTATTAATAATAATAATAATAATAATAATAATAATAATAATAATAATAATAATAATAATAATAATAATAATAATTATAATAATAATAATAATAATAATAAAGGACGTGAAGGGCTGACGAGACAAAGATGTTTGATCATAATTCATGAGGGATTCTGGAAGAAGGGTTTGGAATTCCTGGAGTTTTTCACTCGGCCGACCCCCTGCATGAGACTGATGGGGGGAGGGGGGTCGACACTGAAACGAGCTGACGGACGGAGGGTTTTCTTCATGTTTCTACAGAACAATCCATCAATCAATCAATCAATCAATATACTTTATTGATCCCAATTTCATATAATGTGACAGACGGAGGGTTTTCTTCATGTTTCTACAGAACGATGTGAGAATCATGAGAGGACGTGTGTGTCTGTGTGAATAAAAGAAAAAAACGTGCGTGTGTGTGTGTGCGTGCGTGCGTGCGTGCGTGCGTGCGTGCGTGCGTGCGTGCGTGCGTGTCTTTAGCTGCTGTGATTGTAACCAGCTGTGCTGTGGACTGGTGGCCTCATTCGTCTCCTCTGCAGATTCCAGTGGAGGCGAAAACACACACACATACACGCACATGCACGTGTGCACACACACACACACACCAACTGTGTACCACTAACGTTAAATCAAAGCAGCATGTTTGCAGTTTAAGGACGACTGCAGAACATTTCCAAAATCACAAACAAAGCAGAACTCCAGTTTACTGCCAGTAAAACTTATAAAACTTATAAAACATTATAACTTTTAAACTTTTAACTGACTACACATTTATGACAATTATGACAATTCACCTCCAGGAAGTTGGTATTAGCACACGTCTTTGTGTATTTTACTCAGACACAACTTGATGGTTCTCGTCAGCCTCCCGCCTGAATCACTTCCTGGCTAAAGATGAAAACACGTCCCAGAAGTTACAAGTAAAATCCTGAAAAACTGTTTCCTGAAGTTTGAAATAAAAATGGTGAACAAACAATAATTAAACTAAGTGTGGACCAAAGTTGAGAAATATTTCTGTTGATTTGCACGTTATGTCTCGTTGCTTTGCTGGACAATGATGTGGAGACGTTCAGTGGTGTTTCGCTTGTTGAGAACTGTGTAAACAAACTAACGGGAGAATATTTTATCTTTTTATGAGTGAAAACCGTCATTTAAGTAAACGCTTGAAGAAGTTTGTTACCAAAGCTTTCAAATATTCAAACTTTCTTTGGAACATTTTTAAAAATCTGCTCAAAATCCATCATTTTGGGCTAAAACGAACACAAAATGAAGTGTGCACGTCCCTGGAGGGACGGAGAAATGCATTTCTGCTGCGTGACTAACTCACTAACTCAACTAACTCAGTATGAGTTAGTTGAAGCAACCTGAGGGGCAGGACGGAAACGTTCTTCCAGGCAGCTTTAGAGAAACTTCAGAGCTTTTTTCTCACTTTCAGATCGTGGACAGTTTGCAGGGTTGAACAGAAACTGTTAAAACTCTCCAACATGACATGAAACACTTTACTGGTCAAATGAAGTGACGGTTCGTTTCTGATTGAATGGAATATTTAATGTCGTGAAACACAAGGTTTCCATTTCTAACAGATCCCAGCAAACGTTACACTCAGAGTAAGAGCAAAGGAAACGGTAAGAAAACGTGAAAAATCCCTCACAACAAAGTGAAAACTGACGCTGCTAAATAAAAGTTGCTGACTGGACTCATAAATATCACGGTACGCTGTAAACATACGTGTAAACATACGTGTAAACATACGTGTAAACGCAGCAGCTTTGCTTGAATAAACTTGGAGCAACGTGCCATTAAAAGCTGCTAACAGCCAGGAGACGCAGAGGAAATGTGTTTGTCCCCCGTCAATCTCCCGTCCCTCAGTTTGACAGATCAAACTTTATAAAGAGTTTCTTCCAGAGTTGGAACCTGGCTGCCTGCAGAGTTCATTTGATGGACGGGTTTGAACGAGCTGACAAACATAAAGTTGAATTATTATCACCTAAAACTTTTTGCAACAAGCATCGATGGTGTGCGGATTTTAACAGAAAGTTTTAGCAGCTGAGGCTCGTGTCCATTTATTGCTTTTCATTTTAAAGGTTTAATGTTTTGTTGGACGAGACTGTAAAAAAAGCAGTTTGGTAAATTTTAATTATGTTTAACGTGCTTCAGCATCAACGTGAAACTTCTTCTGTAAACCAGAAGCCGTTGAGTGGAACTGGACCTTCTGATCATCTTCACTTTTCACAGCAGGACGAAGCAAAGAGTCGACGTCATGGCTGCGGTAAAGAGAGCGTTGGTCCGGTCTGTCCTAGTGAAGAAGGCGCTGCGCTAATAATCAAAACTTTTCTTTACTGGCTCAACTCAGTTTCAGCCAAAGACTATAAATATAAGTAGACCTTGGACCGGAACCCAGAACTTAAGACGGACGACCATAACATTTTAGGTTTCACACCATCCTTCTTCACAATTATACATTTCCTTTAGGTTATATTAAGTCATTACATTTAGCAAAACACGTTTGACATGGACCTTTACCAGTACTAGATCATTACTGGTGCCAGACCATAACTGGTGCTGGACCACAGTGGACTTGATCTACAGAGTAAATAATCATAAACTTTAAAGTTGATCTGCTGAAAATGAGACGGTGGCGTAAAAATGGATAAACTTCTGCCTTCGTGTTTGAACGACCCGTGAGATCAGAGTTGGTCAAAAATGGCAGAACTCCACTTTAGAACTGGTCCCTCCCTCCACACACACACGCACGCACGCACACACACGCACACACACACTTTAATCACAATTTGAAAGCATCAGAAACTTTCCCTGAAACATGTTTTTCCATCTGATTTGCGCAGCGTCAGAAGCTGCTGTTTGCTCGTAGACCCCCCCCCCCCCCCCCCCACCAGGTTCACCACCGTCCACTTCACCAGACTCTCCTCTCTAATTTCCACTTTTTTTCAGCTCCCTGCTTTAAAAGAGAAAAATCCCAGTCAGGTTAGAGATTTGGCGGCGGTGATGAATTGATTGGATAATTTCCGCCATATGGGAGCGTTCAGACGTTATTAAAGGAACAAGATGGCGCTTGTCAAAGGTCACCCCGCCTGATGTGAGCCAACAGCGGAGCACAAAGCTGTCTTTGTCTTTAATTTGCTGAGGAAAGTGACGGCTCGGGTTTTTTCATTAATCCACCAGGACAAAACAAGACGATCGGAGGTGGAAACTGTCCTGAAACTTCCTGTGCAGAAAGTGTAACATGATTCTTTACTTATTTTACTCAACTTTTTAACTTTAATTTATAGAAAATAAACTTCAAACCTCCTGTGTTGAGCTTGTTGTAGCTTCAAGTCACAAATTAATGATTATAAATAACAAAAAAATTAATAAAAACTCATCAAATAAATATGTGATCCGCTGAAATAAGAGCAAGCAAAGGTTTATATCAGAATAAACTCTGCTCACATTTCAAACAGCTAACTGCAGAACATTAAAGTGACATCAACACCAAACCCCCAACTTCAAACTGTTGTCACTGCAGCCTAAAATGTTCATTTGAACACGTTTGTGGAAGACTGCAACGTTCAGACAGTTTCCTACGACCTCTCTGCTCTCTGAGAGTGTTGATGGGCCAGAATCAGCTCGTTTCAACATTTCTTTTTTACGCCGCAGAACAGAGCAGGGAGTTTTTGTAGGACAGAGAGATAAATGTTTCCTGACAGGGGGAACATTTATTCAGTGACACCGTCTGACAGGAAGTCTTATAATCCTGAGCAGAACGTGAAGACGGTTCTGCTCGTCAGCTTGCAGCAGAGGTAACGGTCCAGACGCAGGCGGATCTTCAGGTGATCCTGTGAGAGTCCTGCAGGGCTGAGAGCTGACGGTGGAGCTCCCAGAGAAACACGGAGAAGTCAACCTTCCATTGCGCGAGGTATTCAAGGAGAGATGGAGGGTGCACAGGTCCGCCAGGATGGTTCGATACGACCCACCACTCCGAGATGCTCTGGTCCACTGGGAATTCGTTAAGACCTACGGGGTCCATCTGCAGCTCGAGTCGTTCCAACCAGAACCCCACTCTCCGGCCATTTTCCCGCCTCGGGCTCCGGTTCCTGCTTGTCATGACAGCCATCTCCATGATCCTCCATCTGCCTGCACGGACCAAGCTCTACGGAACAGTTTGGTTCTACAGGGAACTTTGAACGTTCTGTGTCTGCCGGACCAGTTCTGGAGAGCAGTAATCATCTGTTGCCGCAGTCGTTATTATCATCATACTGCTAACAGGACTACACTGCTAACAGGACTACACTGCTAACAGGACCACATTGCTAACAGGACTACACTGCTAACAGGACCACATTGCTAACAGGACTACACTGCTAACAGGACCACATTGCTAACAGTACCATGCTGCTAACAGAACCACGCTGCATGCAGGACCATGCTGCCAACAGGACCATGCTGTTAACAGGACCACGCTGCAAACAGAACCACATTGCTATCAGGACCACGCTAACAGGACCATGCTGCAAACAGTACAACGCTGCTAACAGCACCACGCTGCTAACAGTACCACACTGCTAACAGGACCATGCAGCTAACAGCACCACGCTGCTAACAGGACCATGCAGCTAACAGCACCACGCTGCTAGCAGGACCATGCTGTTAACAGGACATTGCTGCTAACAGAGCCACACTGCTAACAGCACTACGCTGCTAACAGGACCATACTGCTAACAGAGCCACACTGCTAACAGGAC